CCCCCCCCCCCACGCCCCGACCCCTGCTTCCCAACGGATTCTTTAACCCCACACTCCCAGACGCCCTCTCAGAGGCCCGCCCCCACCTGCAGGAGCAGGTCTTCGGAGGTGGGCCCGGCGGCGCGCAGCGTCTCCTCTGACCCTGTGACGCGGGTGTAGACCACGCGGGTGCCCGCTGCCTCGTAGGTCCCGGGAGGGCTGACGGCCCAGTTCCCGTTGAACACGTAGCGCCCGTCGCCCCACATCAGCGCTGCAAGGGAAGGGTCAGCCCGGGCTCCCGGAAGCGGCCCCGCCCGCCTCCCGACCCTGTCGCCCCCCTCCCCTCTGGATTCTGGCGGCCAGCAGGGCGCCTCCTCCCTCGGATCCTGCGATACCCAGGTGGTTCCGGCTCCGGTGGGCGGCGCGGATGTGCCTGGCGCCCTCAGGGATCAGGGTCACGTTCCAGTACCCAGCAAAGGCACCTGGGCGGGAGGGAAGGACGGCGTTGGGGAGCAGGTGGGGTGTATTTGAAGGATGATTTGAGGATTAAATGGGATACTGCGATAAGAAGGTTAGCCAAGGCCCTGGTACTTCGAAAACGCTTCCTAAAGGATTGAAGTTACGATGATTATCACTTAAGTGCGGCAGCAAAAGAGTTAAACCCCGTCTGCTACGGGAAGGGCGGGACAATCTGGAAACGACCAATCAGGACGAACAGCGTAGGGGGGGCTGGGCAATGACCAATCAGAACGTTGAGCGAGGGGGGCTGGGCCTCAGACTGCCCAATCAGCGCGGGACGTCTTAAAGGGCCCGCTCTGGGAGAGCGCGAGGACGGGGAGGGCGGTCACCGGCATCCCGGAACACGCGCTGCACGAAGAGGCACGAGTCGTTGGCGCCGCCGCAGCGGCCGCAGCGGTCTTCGCGGGCATCCGAACCCAGCAAACCGTCACAGCCGGCTCTCTAAAGGGGTGGGGAGGGCACGCGCGCCGTCAGACGGGCCCTGCCGTCGAGAGGGCGGGGCCCATGGAAGAAGGCAGGACCAAGAACTAAAAGGATGGAACCTGGGGGGCGAGCCCTAGTGGGAGGAGGCTGGGGATGAGGCCTAGTGATAGGTGGGGCAGGGGAGGTCGGGGACTCGGTAGGGGGCGGGGCCTAGGGAAGAGGGAGGGACCAGGAACTTAGTGAATGGGGTCTGGGGGCGGGGCCTGGAGGGAATAGGCCGGGTGGAACCTAGAAGGGGCGGGTCTGGCGCCGGGGCCTGGAGTTCTTACGAGGCAGCGGCCAGCCACGCAGAGTCCCTGGGTGCCCGGGCTGCAGGGGGTACCGTCCAGCACGCGGCCGAAGCTGTGATAGAAGTCGTGCCCCTCCGCCAGGCAGTTGAGGTCGCACTGGTTGGGTGCTGGGGATGGGAGGAGTCGGTGGCAGTGGGGGACATATCTGAGTTCCAGCCCCCTTCCTGCCAGTCTCCCCTCAGGCAGCCATCCTCTTGGGCAGATGAGGCCCAGAGACTCAGCCAAAGCCACACATGGAGGCTGAGGCAGAGCCAGGACTGGAACTTAGGCATTCTGCTTCCCGTTCGCTGGGACTGTCCCAGGCAAGTATCCTGGGCCTGCACTCATTCGTTCATTCATTCATTCATGTTCAGTCCTAATATTAGGGGCCCACTATTAACATCATCACCCATTCTTCACTCATTCTTCCATACGTTCATTCCACAAACACTCATCGAGCACCTACCATTTTCCAGACAATGTTCTAGGCTCTGGGGTACAGAGGTGGGCAAAACACACTCGGCACTTGGGCTCTGCACCCAGAAGGTGCCCCCAAAAAAGCCAGTTCTGACTGAGTCCTGCATAGCATGCGTATGTTGCTGGCCCTCCCCGGGACTCAGTTTTATCCTCTGCCTGGCAGTGGGGCATAATGGACAGTCTGACCACACCCAAGGCTCACAGACCTGATCCCTGCTCCCCCTGCTCAGGCTCCCTCTGGCTCCCGACGCCCTGAGGCTGGCTGGCAGACCGAGCCTGGAAGAGAGCCTGAGCTGGCCCTGGCGGGCCTCTGTGGGGGTGAAATCATGGCAAGTTTCCGCCAATTCTTAGGGTGAAGGAAATAAAAATCTGTGAGGTTGACGGTTGGAACTTTCTCCATTCTAGGATTTTCTTATCTGTGTCTACCCGCACCGTGGCGTCTGAAGCTGCCTGTTTCCCTTAAATCTGGAGGCGCACTGCCCCAGGCACACAATTATATAACTCGCTATTTTCAGCTCAGTGCGGCAATATTTCCTGCTACTGGTGTAAGTTTGAGAAATGTTGGCCTCTGGATACGGCTCCCAGTAAATCCTCAGCTTCGTGTTCGACCCTGTGCAGAATAGACTCTGCCTCCTTCTGCCCCTCTTCACAAGTCACACTTGCTTTCCACCCTTCACTTCACCAACTCCTACATATCCCTGAAAGCCCCAGTGCCAATGCCCCCTTCTTGCACCCCTCCAAGTCCCCCTTCCTTCTTAGCAGCCACTTTTCCCTGCCAGCTCTGAGGGAGCTGGACTAACAGGAGCATAGGCTACTCACCACCGTAGAAGGGCACCCATTGGTAGGTCTTCTGGGTGCCCAGGACAGGGTGGCCATTGTAGAGGGCGCATTGGAAGTCTCGGAAGGGCACGGCCCCTGGGGGACATTCCTGGGGACAGAGATCGGTGGAGCAGAGGCTGGGACAGCCCCAGTGATGCCCAGAGAATCTGGCATGGTGGCAAGGATCTTTGGGGGCATGAGTGGGGAAGCAGGAGGGCTTCAGGGAGAACTCAGTCTGGGGGGTGGTTGGATAGAACTTACGGGCAGCTGGCAGAGGCGGTACTCGTGGGTGTCCCCCCAGCACAGCTCTTCCCTGGGAAACCTTCGAGGAGCAGTGTGGCCAGACTGCGGTCAGCACCTCCAGAAACCCTTCCCCAGAGCCAGCCTGCCCACCCATCCACCCCCGCTAACCCCACCCACATTCCAGCTGGATTAGTGGGATTAAAAGGCACAGCTTGTGTGGGCAGGTCGAGGGTGCGGCCAGGGGCTGGGCCAGCCTGACAGGAGAGGAGGGGCAGGGACCCCCTCCCATCCCACCCAGCCGGGTCCCAGGAGCCTCCTCACCGGATGCATTGCCGGCTGCGCACGGAGAGCCCTCGCCCGCAAGAGCTAGAACAGCGGCTCCAGGAACCCCATGGAGTCCACTCACCCGGACCCTACTTGGGGAGACAGAGGCAGAGTCAGCCTGGAAGGGAGGCTGGTGACCCCCACACTGCCAGCCGGGTTCCCATGCCCGCTGCCCCCTGGGCTCATGTACCCCTTTACCTGAGCGTTGTCCCCCAAACCACAGTTCAGGAGGGTCCACAGCAGGAGCAGGAGGTTCCGGAGGGGGCGGGGTCTGGAGGACAGGAGGGGGCGCAGCAGTAGGGAGGCCAGCAGGCCAGGGGTTGCGCCCCAGCTCTTCCCTGACTGGCTGTGTGATTTTGGACAGTAACTCAACCTCTCTGAGCCTCCCTTCTCATCTCTGAAAAATGAAGTCGTAATAGAGCCCACCTAATAGGAGAATTTTGAGGGGTTCGTCAAATTAGGTGAGGAAAACGGGGGCCACAGAGCCCGGTCTGGAGAGAGAAAACTCAAGTAATTATTATTGGTTGTTTACTGTCTATGATGCACGTAGTAGGTGCTCATTCAGCGTCGGATGATGGAAGGAATCATTCCAGGAGCGTGCACAGGTGTCTCCAGGGTCCTAGGGCCCTCCCCACTCTCCCCACCATCTTTGCTCCTACCTTCCGGTGTGGCCAGGGGCCAGGTGCTCCTCTTCCCCCCGCCTCAGTTTCCCCATCTGTGCAGTGGGGACCAGCTGGGCACAGTCCAGGACTCTATGGGACCTTGCAGAGGGTGTGGCTGGTGGTGGCTGGGTCTGGTGCCTGGCAGAGCTCCCCCCACCCCACCCCCGGGCGGGCCCCAGCCTCCAGGGCCCCCTCAGCTCCCAGACCTGCAGCAGCCAGGAGCTCCCGGATGGGGGGCGGGACGGGGCAGGGCGACCTGGCCCCGGTCCAGCGGGTGCCTCATGGCCTCATGTGAAGAGGGTGTGGGATGGAGCCCCGGAGCCGCCTGCAGAGGGAAAGGGGCTGCCAATGAGGATGAGTGTGTGGGGGCGGGGGAGAGGGTGGCTGGGAGGCTTTGCCTCCCCGGGCCTCAGTTTCCCCATCTGTCAGGGGAAGAATGAAGTCACTTGCCATCCCCACCCTCCCCATGACCATGGCACTGGTGGAGAAAGTGGCGGGCTAGGGCCAGGGAGCCCAGCGGTCAGCAGTGCCCAAAGGACACGCAGGCCATGCTGGAGGGCTCCAGTCCTGGAGGTCCCGGGCAGCGGATGGGGGAAGGCAGGGCCCCACTGGGTGTTCTTGAGCAGCAGTGTCCCTGGTCATCAGGCTCTCCTGGCTCTGACATTCAAACCTGGGGCACCCAGGGTCTGGGGCCAAGGTGGCTCCAGATGCTGAGAACCTGGGGGACCACGGGGTGGGTCCCCCCCTCTGACCAGAGCTGTGAGGCTGGCTGCATCTCTGAACCCCAGCCCTGGATGGCCCAGGAAGCAGGAAGAAGCCCGGGTTGGAGCAGAGGTAGGGGGAGGGGGCTGGACCCTCGGACACCCGCTCCCCTCTCAGCACTGGCTTGTGGGGTGGGGGTCTAGGTGATGCAAAATGAGGGGCCTGAGGGATCACCATTCCCACTCTCCAGAGCCCCCTGCCCGAGGAGCAGGGCACACCCCCCATCTAGGCTGCAGTCCCGACTCTCGGTGTGATCTCAGGGCAAGCCACGCCTCTGGACCTCAGTTTCCCAAGGAGGAAGAGGGGATGAGCTTTCTCCCACGCTGGGGATTGCTGCCTCGCCACCCCCCAGCTTAGGGACGGGGAGAAGACTCCGGCCGGGATAGTGGGGGGATAGGAAGAGGGACTTACCGGCTACGTCGAGCCCAGGCGGCGCGTCCAGGTTCCCCGGGCGGCCCGTGGGCGAGCGGAAGCCGCGGGGCCCGCGAGGAGGGGCGGGGGGAACCCGGGACGGCCCCTCCCACCCGGCCTCCCAGGGCGCGCCCCGGCCGGGGTCCAGAGGGGCGGCGGCGCCGTGCGCCCCCGCGCGGCCGTTGCGCGCCTGGGCGCCGATCTGCGGCAGGCGACTGCTCCGCACGCGCCGCGGTCCCCCAGAACTGCGGCCTGGTGTCCGACCGTCCGCGCCCCGGTGACCTTGGGAAGCCCAGGGCGGGGGAGCCGCGCGGGGACTGACCGCCCTTACCCCCACCTCGGGGCTGCTATTCCGGGCGCCGCGCTCAGGGCCCGGGAATGTGAGCGAACCGAGGTCGCCCTGTTGAGGCTCCAGGAGGGCGCTGCCCTCTCCCCACCGACGCCCAGATCGCGTCCCCACGAAGGTTCCCTTTCCTGGCCACTACCCCTCCCCAAATCCCTCTCCCTACCCCTCCCTCAAAGTCACCCTACTCAGGAACCCGCGCGCCGGGGTTCCCGCCCCAGGTCCCGACCACCCCCAGCGCAGGGCCCCAGAGCACTGGGGGGAAGCTCAGTCCCAGGGGCCTGGCGTGGGGGGCGGAGAGCCCCCTCCCAGCCCGGCACATTCCCGGGTGCTGCTGTCACCAGAGGACGCGCCCCACCCCGCCTCCCGCCCTCCCTGCCCGGCCCCAGGCTGCAAGCCCTGGCTTCGCAGCTAGACCCGGGTCCAGAAGGTCCCCCGCCTACGCGACTGTGGCCCCACCCTCTCCGACCTCAAGTTCCCCATCCGGGCAATGGGGCCGGCGGGGGTCTCCACAGCGACAATTCCAGGTGGATCTTAGTTCTTTGCGCGGACGGGCAAGGACAGGGTTACCCCAGGGCTCCCCACCCCCAGACCTTTCCCCGGTTTAGCATCTGCGCGCCCCCCCCACCCCTCATCCCCCGCCCAAGCAGGGACGCAGCAGGCACCCTCCGCTCGCCCTTTCCCCTGGCTCCTCACTGTGGCCCCAGGATGCTGCCTGGCGAGCGGGTTGAGGAGATGGGGGAACCAAGGGGGGCGTTGGGTGGACAGCTCTTCTGCTCCCTTGGCTCAGCCCAGGCTCAGCTTGAGTGCCCCCTTCTCCCGGGAGCCCGCAGTGGGGTGTTCCAGCCCCGACCACAGGGAAGGGGTACCGCCGGTCCAGCTCTGTCTGTCCTCCAGCCTGGAGCAGCTCAAGGCAGGGCCATCCAATGCCATTCATTCATCCAACACTTACTGAGCATTTACTTTGTGCCGCTACAGCTGTGAATCCGGCTAGTGAGGGGAGACAGTGCCCTACGAGGGCACCATGCTACCTTCCCATCAGGACATTCTGCAGAGATAGCCCAAGCCCACTGCAGATGGGGTGGGGGACCAGGAAGGCCCTCACGCAGGAGGTCATTGCCGCAGGGAGGTGGGGGAAGGGCAGCCCAGTCTGCCTGGAACAGCACATGCAAAGGCCCTGAGGCTGGAAAAGGGAATAAGGGACAGTGGGAAGGTCGGGGTGGGTGGAGCCAGTGGCCAGCCTGGGGGTGGGATGTGGTCAGAGAGGGGCCAGGGGGATGGCAACCCTGGGAGGTGGGAGGGGGTGCTCTGGTTTGGGAACAGCTGCCTCTGGCTGTCATGGGGGCAGGACAGGGGACCTGAAAAGCAGTGGGGAGGCAGCGGCAGGCATG